GTGCAAGGGAGATGCCTGTGCCTGGACCTTCGGGTGTTTTGGTGCTCCTGGGCAAATGAGTTGGGGAAGCAGAGATGAAGAAGGGTGTTGGGAAGCAGAAGGATTTGCTTTGCTGTGGCTGCGTGAGGCCACCTTCTGCCTTCTCCCTTCTTCAGCCTCGGTCTTTGCTTGGCAAATCATCTCATCCCTTAATCAGTTCCTAGATCCTGCCGAATCCTCTCACAGAGGTGTTTATGAGAAGAGTGTTTATGAAAAGGGTCCTTTCGCCTCTCACCCTGGTTTCTGAACAGAAACACGTTTTGGACGTCAGAGATGCTCCGAGTGCCACCTGCTGGAGTGTGCCCGGCCTGCGGGGTGCCCCGGGCTCTCAGCCCCTTGGCAGGGGACACAGCCTGTCCCGTAGCTGCAGACACCGTACCTGCCCTTTCCAAGGGTCACCATACTAGTTTTACAGTGAAGATTTGGCTGCCTCTCAGCATGGAGAGCAGTTGCCCCAAGGAAGAGGGCAGAGTGCTTTTGAGACGATCAGTCTGAGGCTTTTGTTTTAAACCGCACGGGAGGAGGTTCCTGGTGTTACCCATGCCACGATGGAGTTGGTCATTCACTTCTCCCAGCTCCCTTGGCCCTCTAAGAGTTTGTGTGTGAACGTGGTGATGAACAGGATTTCTAGACTCTAGCGTTACGGGCACTCTTGCTGTGCAGAGATCTGATTGTGTGACCTGGGTTTTTTCCTCCCTCCCTTGTTTTTGGTTTGTTTTGGTTTTCAGGAGACCAATAAAACAGTCCTTGGAGATGGTGTAGGGTGAAACGTGCCTCTTTCCTACCGCAGGACTGTTCCCTCGCTGTAATCCCTTCCTGCAAACCTCAGGCAGCAAAGCTCTGCCAGGAATCCGCCCCCGTCCTTATCCACTTATCGGGAAGTTCCAGTTGCCGAAGTCTCCGGTGCTCCTTAGCTGTGTTTGTAGAAGTGACTTTGTCCAAGACTTCCATCTTCAAAGCCACCCCGCGGTGGGCCCTTCCTCCCCCCGGGCCCTGGCTGCCTCCCCAGGCTTTTGTTGGTCAAAACAGCAAATGCCCTTGTTCAGCATGAGTTTGGTTTAAAGGACCAGCAAAGCTGTCTCTTCCCATGCAGATCCCCTTGGATTGCTCTGAGAATCTCCCACTTCATTTAAGCTCTGTCTGTGACACCAAGCGTTTACGCTGTTCTCTTTCTCCCTCCTCCTGCAAAAGCTGTTGCTGCTTCTCTGATGTCTCATAGGGGCATGGGCACACCTCTTCCCTCCGTCTGCCACCTGCTTTTATAAAACCCCCAGGACTGAATCCTTCTGCAGTTTTTCCTGCTCCAAGTGTGGTTGGAAGTGGCTGAGGAGCTCAAGTGAGAGGTCTCATGTCTTTTCTCCCAAAGCTTTTGCGGATGCAGGCATGTATATACTAAACAAAACTCTTATAAAATGCAGTCAGGTGGTGGTTAGACCTTTGCTTTGAGCAGGCAGCCCTGCACTGGTGCTGGATCGGTGATGGTTGTGATGATGCTGGAGTCAGAAAACCAGAGCCCACAAAGTTTCGTACCTGGAAGGGAGGGCAGCCGTGAGGCCGTGGGAGCTGCGTGGCTCGGGGAGCTTGGGCTGGGATAAACCCGTTGGAACATGTGTGGGAGAACAGGACAGAGTCTCCTCTTGGGCAGAGGAGTTTTTAAATCTGCTTGAGGTTTTAAATTATTATTTTGTCTTTAATTGCGTGTGTGGTATGTGTAAGCACGAGAGAGAGGTTGAACACAACCTTGATACTGTAAATTCCCACTGAATTAGATAAAATGAAACTCTTGAATTCTCCCAGGTATTTCTTTTTTCTTTTTTTTTTTTTTTTAACTTCGACAGTTGAATGAAATTGGTACGATCTCACAAAATATTCTGCTTGGCTGGATTTCTGTTTTCAATTTCTCTTCTAAGCTGTAGTGAGTGGCAGGTCAGGAAACAACTCCTGTCCTGAATAAACACGGAGTAGCAGCACCTGCTTACTCTGACCTTGCTCTTGCTCTCCCCTCCCAGCAAAGCCCCAGGAGTGGCAGCGGGCTGACTCGGTGAGTGTGCCACTTTCAGAATGTGCGGGTAGCACGGGTACATGGTGACATTTCTCAACTCCCCAGAGGTCCCGGAGCAGTTGCAGACCTCTCAGAGGGCAGGTTTCCTGTGGGGGTAGTTACAATCACCTGCTTTGCTTTCCTGGAAGTCGGTAGATGGCAACAAAATGAGTTAAAATCAGCAGCTGCTGATACGACCATCTGGCTGCTGTGGGCAGCGCTTCCTCTGGTGTCGAAATGGCTCTGCCTTGAGGCACAGCTCCCCTCTTGGAGAGAGCATCCCCTCTTGCATCTCACTCAACAGCTCCAGCCTGTCCTCTGTGCTGGCTGGTGGGTCTGTTCGGACGCAGGTACCACGGGCTGAAGCCCTTGGCTTTGCAAGGATGTCTGTGCTCAAGGAAGAAGGGTGCTGCTCGGGGACAAGTGTCCTGTAGAGTTTCTTGGGCTGGAGCCAAGGCCAGGGGCTCCCGGGAGCACTAAGGGTGATTCACCAAAGAAGTGAAGACAAAAGTACGTGGTTCTGGCCAATTCTTTGGTTGCAAATGAGACCAACCGTCAGCACTGCCCAAATAAGGTCTTTGCAGGAGAGCAGGCAGTGGCTGGCAAGGTTTCTTTGCTTTGTTTGTTCCCCTTTTTGAGAACCACCACTTTAAAAAAAGTTCCAGACAGAGCAGCCTTTTCCTCGCTGCACTTGACAACAGCAAAAAGCAGATTCGCTTCCTCTGCAAAGCTGTAGCATCTCTTTGCTTTGCATTTATTTCAGGCTGCCTCCAGAGTCGCTGCTCTGCAGGGTAGTTGTCGCTTGGAGTAGCTGGAGTAGGTTGCATAAAATAACTTTGTGTGAGAGTTTAGGAGTGTGAAGCTCCTGCTCCTGAGGCTGGCACCCAGGAGCACGAGGGGTCTGCGCAGCGGCCACATGCCGTCAGAGGTCGTCCCCATCCAGTGCTTCCTGGCCAGAAGCTGAAACCTCTGCCGAGACACCCCTTTGCCCTAGCTTGGGGCCACCAGTCCCGCTTCTGAAACACATTGATGTGACGGCAGCTGTCTCTCTTCAAGCAGCAGTTCTTCCTGTTTATGAAACCCTGATCCTTCCCTCTCCGATGCTGTTCCCAGTGCTCCGTGGGATGGAACTGGAGCCTGGAAGGAGGCAAAGGTGGTCCCTGGTTGTTCTGATTTAAATCTGTAAGGCTCACAAATGTCCTGTTTCATGGAGCTCATGTTGGGGCTTGCTGGAGCTTAGTCCTACAGCCTCGTCTGGATTTGCAGCATCTTTACACCTCTGGATTTGGGATCATCTTTCCCGGGACTGATGTGACAGCAGGTTCAGGCAGAGTTTACAGGCAGGTCTTGACACTTTGGTACGAGCATCTGGCCCATGGCTGCTCAGACAGCATCGTCTCACTTTTCCTTGGTGCTGTATAGGAACAGAAGGAACAAAATTGGCAAATCCACTTCTGTCACCAACCTTTTGCTTTTCAAAAATAAGAGATAGGGCCTAGAAGTGACATAATTCTGCCTTAGAAGTGTCAAATTCACCCAGGATGTGTGAGGTCATTTGGAAATGCCTTGGCGCAGCCTCCGTCTCTCTTGCCCTTAGACCCACAACTGAGCCTGCACCGCAGTTTCCTTTAGTTTATGCTTCTCGCTTTAGATTTATCACCTTGTGTTGGGATTGTTACCTCTTTGCTTGGTTCTGGTCCCTTCTCTTGGGAGCAGAGACAGCAAAGCAATGGAGATTTGCTGCAGCCTTTCCCTCCGTGGCTGTTAACTGCATCCGAAGCAAAGAGCTGATGGCTTCTGCTGCCCAAATGTAAGCTCCAGCTTCTGTGTTACTCTCTGTAGAATTGTTTTGAGATCCCTGATGCCTGCTGTCACTGAGGAGGTGTGATCTCCCCTGGGAAACAGGTTTGAGGAGTGGGAAAAAGCTGGCGGGATGCTCCATGTAGACACAGCTGCAGCCTGGCAGCAGCAACTACAGAAGTTGTGTGGATCTGGAAAGAAGTTTAGCAGAAACTGTGACTTTTTTGTTATGGTACAGAGTGGGGACAGCTAAAGGGACTCTGTAAAACAGCAAAGGACCTTGCAGTGACACTGGTGAAACAGACGGGTGAGTTTTGAAACCATCTAGGACATCTGTTTTGCACAGATGAAATGCAGATGGCCTCTTGACGGGAGTAAGCGCGTGGCTCACTCTTCTCCTTGCAAACATAGAAACTGAGAGAGAACTGATTCAGAGCCGGAGGGCTGGAGCCTTTCGTCCCTTTCTGCTCCCCATGTCCACGCTGCCTGGCTTGGCCAACTCCCATCTCCTCCCCACTCTGGCACTATTAAGCCCTGCCTGGGTGTACACGAGCGGGCGCAGAGCAGCGTCGTGGAGCAGGAGCCGACCCCTGAGCGAGCGGGCAGGATTGTGCAACCCTCCGTAAGATGCCGACGTGCAAACCTCACGCGGGACGGAGAACTGCCCTCCTCCTGACCCCTTCCCTGGAGCCCCACGACTCAGCTGATCCCACAGGGAGGGTGTTTGAGCTGGACTCAGCATTTGTGCTGCTCAGAGCAGGAGCAGTGTAACTTTGGGGAAGAAAGCTATGCAGACCCTCAGTTGCTTGTTCCTGCCTCGTGTAGAGACTGAAATTGCTCTTTCTGCGCCTGTTTTCCTGTCTGTGACGTGAGGGACTATACTGATCCTCTTGCAAAGCCTGCTGAGCTTTGCTGATGGAAAGAGCCATGCCTAAGCACCCGTAAAGCCATCCAGTGTTTTCATTTGGCTGCTGGTATTGTGCAGCCATCACCACACAATGCAATTTCCCCATACGAAACCGCGGTTTCCTCTCAGCGAAAACTCCCAAAATACATCCCAGTGACATAACTACTACACTCGGGGTTCTCGTGCTGGTCTGGGTGCTGCAGAGTGCTCTGAGTACAGAAGCCAGCGTGCAAAGTATGGGAGAATAGCAGCCTAAAGCTCTGGAGATGCTGAGGCTCCTCTTTCGCAGCAAGCCACGGATCCAGGAGGCAAGTGTCTAGCTGGTAAAATATCCGCTCTGCGTTCAGTGCTGTGCTCTTGTCTCTTCTGCAGGACACAAGAAGTTGGTGAATCGCCTGACCTTAGCGAGCTAGACCTTATCCAATTTTAATTAACGGCTTCTCTTTTGGAAAAGGCATTTCTGATGGTAAAACTGCTTTCTAAGAAGTGTCTTTCCTAGGTGCTGCCAGAATTTGGGAGTGTTTTGGGACCAGAGCATGTGTTGAAGCAACAGAAATTAAAACAGCTTCTGGTTAGTTGTTGATGAATAGGAAGCAAAATGCCAAAAGCGTAATCTGTTTCTAGTTCTTGCAGGTTTTTTTTTTTTTCTTTCTTGCATTTAGATGTGACTATCTCAACCAGCAAAGTGACAAAATGCGAGCAAAAACAAACCTGTCTCTTGGCTTCTGGCTTGTAAAATCCTTCCTCAAAAAAAGGGGCAAGTAGGAAAGAGGACTTGTATTTTGAACTTGCTCTTGATAAAAAACTAACCCCTACGTGTGTGCCCAGCCCCTGATCTAGGATGACTAAGCCCTCTGTGCAGTTCAAGGCAGTGTTGGGAAGTTCAGAAGAAGTTGTCTCCTCCTTTGACTCAAGCAAGCTCCTGGGCTCAGACCCAGCCGGTGGCTGGAGAAGGTGTCCTTTTATTTTCCAGAAGCAGCAAATACCATTTCCCAGGAGTGCAGGAATCTGTGTAAAATTGCCTCCCCTGAGGCTATGGGTGTCAGAAGACGGCTGGTAGCTCGCAGCAGCAGTGTCTTGTGCTGGTAGCGTGGACCTGCAGAGAGATCCGGGCTTGTGGGAGAGAAATCAATCCGTCCCCATCCCAGGCAGGGTTTGGTGTGGGCTCGCTGGTGAAGGAGCTGGTTTCCCAGCGGGTGGGTGCGATCGCTGCTGGCAGACCAGACCGCTGAGGGTTTTTTTGTGACCCCTTTAGGATGCTCAGGAAGGGGTTTAGTTGTGGCTTTGGTAGATGTGTCAGCTGCCCCGGGCATCCGCTTCCCATGGCGGCAGCGGGACGATCACCTTCTGCCAGACCCAAAGAGATCTTGGCCGCTCCCGCAGCAGGGCCAGAGCGATGAGGGGAGGAAGGGGAAGAGGTGACTGCAAAGGCCCCCTCTGATTCAGTCCTTCCGGAGCTGAAAATCAGTTAATTCTTAACTCTAATCTCACTGTTTCACGCAGCTCCTCCCTTCCCTCAAGGCTGCTTTTGCTTCTCTCGCCAATCTGTAGCTCCTGCCCTACTTTGAGGTCTCTCGGCCTCGCGCTGTGCCCACCCAGTTGATGTTGCTGGCGCCGAAGAGCCCTGCCAACGCCGCGGGCTGTGTCGCTGTGACGGGCTGCTTGAAAAGGAACAAGAGCTCGAATCTCTCTTAGGTCCCTTCTGTCTGCATTCGCATGAGTTTTATCTCATCTGCAGCCGAAGATGGGAGCCTCTCGGAGGAAATGTTTCAAAACTGATTCAATTTTTTTGGGAGGTGATTCTTCTATTCAATCTTGGCTCGTTATCTAAAAAGCAGGTGAAAGAGTACCTAGGTGTGATAGCAGATCTCTGCACGTTCATTAAAATACACCAGGCGTGGGGACTGACCTTGCAAAAACTTACTTTTTCCTTTAAGTCTGTGTTTTTGGCAGAGAAGGAGCCATACCCTAGCAGAGAAGCAGTTCTTTTCTGAGCTCCCTTTAAATGCATCTGCGTCTGCCCCTGGAAGGGTTCACGGAACTGCCTCTGGCCCCCGAGGCAGCATAACCTGACCTTTCTAATGCTGCTCCGTGAGCTGTCATTGCATCTGGACTGGCCCTACCCTGCCCTCGAGGGATGTGGTGAGGTTTCATACTTGAGTATGTTCCTCCTGGTTGCTTTAGAAATGTTGAGTGTGGCCCTGGAGACCCAGGACACCACCGCCTGAACAGATGCTTTCGGAGCCTGTTCAGGTGTAGCTCAGAGTAAAATCTCATCTAGACATTAATTGACTTGCCGGAAATTAATTCTCTCTCCTTCGGTGCTCTGATTCCTGGGGAACATGTGTAACCAAATGCAAGCACTGTGTCCTTCTCCACCACCCATCAGAGATTATCAAACCTTTACCAGCACCTGGCTCCAGCCACTCTCCCGGAGCCACAAGCGCAGCTCAGAATGACACCCCGAGCAGTGATGTCTTGGTGGGGCACCACCGGTGACTGCAGACGGCTCACCTGGTCTTCCTAAACAAGTTAATTGGGAGAACTTCAGCAGAGTTTCACAGCCCCTCTGTGCTGACACTCATTTATTGTCCAACAGGCGAAATCTGACGTCACTTGGATAGAGAAAGACGTCGTGGACTCAGCAGACAAGGTAAGAGAGCTTGCTGCGGATGCACGCCTCAGGGAGACTCACGCATTTAATTCGCACTTTGTCCCATGACGGGTCGTCCCACGTGTGCGAGGGCGTTAAGCAGAGCTCACAGGGACCTCAGAAACCCAAACCTTTTCTTGCAGCACGCCCCTGTCAGCCCGTCTCAGCTAGGTGGGACTGCTCGTACAGAAAACAGCTATTACTCACTTACTCACATGACATCCTGGACCTGACTTCATCCTCCTCCTCCTCCTTCCTCCCCACACCAAACCCCTTTCCGTGCTGTCATTTATGTCTCCTGTGGCTTTCTGATCTTGTCAGCTTGCTGGGGCGGGCGCTCCAGCCTTCTAGTTGCATGGATGTACAGTGGGGTTTTTTGATTGCTTTTCCGAGGCTCCTCTCCCCACGCTGTGTGCCTGATAACACAACATGCAAAGCTTTCTCAGTCGGGACGAGATTTATCAGATTTTGCCGGGCCCACGCACAGAGAGCTGGCTGGCTGCATCTCCTGCACGGCTTCAGTGAGCAATGTCAAGCTTCTTTGGAAGCGGTGATGCTCATCTTTGGACGGTACATTGTGGACACAGTTTCTGCTTCACTGGAACTGTGGCGGCAGCGTGAAGGAGGTGTCGGTATCAGCTGAGTCTCCCGGAGACTCCTGCTCGAGAGCAGCTGCGTGGTGCCATTCCCTGCTGCTCTCTGGCACCTCCTCCTAGTTCCCTTGGTTTGGACCTCCTCAGTTCTTGAGGTTCTCTTGAGGTTCCCTCTGTGGAGCTGGGACCAGCTGCCCTGCTGGTATGAAATCATTTGTTTCTTTCATTATCAGTTCTCAAAGAGCGCGTTACAGGGTGGAGGAGGGGAGACAGTCATAAGGCATCTCTGTGATGACCAATATCGTCTTTTGATACTTTGCAGTCTCTGGAGAAATTCCGAAATCAATGCTGACACAGGGTTATTTCTGATCGCAAAGATGTGGGGGTGTCTTTTTACTCATTTCGAGGGGTTTCTTTCTTTCCTGCGCACTCTGCAGAAAACATCTGTCTGTCCTGGCCCAGTGGAAAGGTGAAAGGGAAACAGGCTTGGAGGGATAAGGAGGTAAAACCTACGATCTTAAATACCTAAAAGATCTAAATACCTCTCCTCTGTCCTGCCTCCAAATCTGAGCAGCAATAGGTTCAGAAGCTGTCTGCATCAGAAATGCCCTTAAAAATACCTTACATGGAACTTCCCAGGGTGACTTAGATAGCTCCAGTGTCCCCAGCGAGGACCCTTATAGAGCATAAAGCGAATAAAGGACTAGATGCAAATCCTAGTGATGCCAAAAGATTTGTCCATGGGATTGAATCCCATCATGGGTGACCCATCATCCCTGTGCCAGTGTGAGAGCAAAGAGATGTACGGCAAAGAGATGTACTTCCGTGGGGAGTTAATAGAGTTTTTCTCTTCCTTTTTGAAGAGTAAGCGGCTCCTTAGATTATTCCCCTGTTGTGGAAATACTCCCAAAGCTCTCAGCCTGACACGAAATGGAAGTCACTTCAACTAGACCACGTATATTTTCTGTCAGCATCTTGTCTGAACCAGGGGACCCAAATGTGAGCAAGGAACTGTGAGATTTTTTTTTTCTTAAAAAAAAAAAAAAGCGCAAAACCAAAAAAAAAAAAGAAAAAAAGCCCCAACCACAAGCTCTGTTGCTGGGGAGTGGGAGCGTGAACGTGCCTCCGTGCGACCGAGTCGCTTGTCTCCACTGCGCATCTGCCAGCCAGGCTTTAACCACCTGTATCTCCTCCATCCGCCAACCTCGAGCGCGGGACATCCGTGCCGCACCGCCGGGGCCTCCCCGAGCCTGGTGGGGGTGGCGGTTACTGGGGCTGTGCGATGTTGATCGGGATGGGAGGATGGAGAGGGACGCTAAACTTCCTCGCATCTGCGCCTTCCTCACGCTCTGGCTGCAGAGGAAGCACCGAGCCAAGCCCTGCCGCCTGCAGCTGCCTGCCCCCAGCCAGCTCTCCAGCCCGGTCAGTAACTGCCAGCAGCTCGCTTCGCTTCGCTTCACATCACGGGTTGCTTGTCCGGGTGGGCCGATGCTTTGGGTGGATGTTCGGAGCAGTCTGGTTTGCTTTTCCTTTTCTGCCTTCTGGGATAGTTTGCTTAACGGTGCTGTTGGAAGGAACTTCTCGTGGGGCGAGTGCTTTCGGGCTGGAGATTTGCTGCGATAGGAGCTGGGCTCCAGGGTCCTGACTGTTGAATTGCAAGTTGCTGGATGAGTCCGTACGAGGAAACCTCCCTTGTGTCAGCAAGATGCCAAATGACAGCTCCAAAAAGCTGTCAGTGATGCCGCTTTGGGTCAAGTCAGTACGGCTGGATGTTTGCTGAGGTGGTCTGGCTGGCAGGCTGCGTATGCAAATCTCTGCTGCTTTCAGATACAGCCTGGGCTGCTGAAACCGCTTGCAGTGAAACACACTGGGTCTTGCTATCGGCCAAGGCAAAGAATTCCCACAGGTGTGAAAACCTGTCCGCTCCGCAACTCCTTAAAGGTGTGGATACACGAGTTCATTTTAAATGTTCCTCTGCAGAGGTGTGTGATGCCGCAGGGTGAAACGTGCACGGCTGTACAAGTGCTGATGCTGTGTAGACCTGGTTTCTCTCTAATGTTTTCATGAAGCTGAGGAGGAGGGAAACAGCATCCAAATTCCGCTTGTCTCATCCTGGCTCTCCCTGCTGTGGGTTTCTCTCTGGATAGCTGAACAAGGAGGAAGAGGAGGAGACCTCTTCCACCAGGAGGCTGAATCCCACTCTTGGCTGAATCCTGCTCAGGCTCTTGGCTAGAAGTGGGAAACTGCTCCTAACCACCAGCTGTCTGCCACAAAATAACCCTCCAAACGAAACCAGAAGTGCAAGGTGGCTGATTTAATCTGGGAGATCATATGGAATGTGAGAACTTGTTTGTTACAGGGATTATAAGATTTTTCTTGTCTGTGATCACTTGAGACCAGCAAAAGGCAGGATAACACGGGGAGAGCTCCTGCCCTTTCCCTGGGTGGTACGTGCTGCACCGCCGCGAGCGTGGGCTTCTCTGCCGTGTGCTGGTGTCTGAATAACGCAGGATCTTGAGAAAAACCAGGCATGAGAGCGGCAAGGGAAGGGTGCTCGGTGCAGGTAGGCAACCACATCCGGGGGTGCTTGGCAAGGCCAGCCTCGCTGAGAACACGCTGGGAGGGTGGGGAGTGGGCTGGGGCGCAGAGGAGAGGCAGAGCCTGAAACTTGGTTCCTGTTGTTTTTAAAAGCTGCTTTGGTTAGATGGGTTCCACACCAAGTATCTGAATACTTCTGGAAAACAAAGCATAACTTTTTCCCCCCCCTACTCTGCAAGGGGAAAAAATAAATAGTAATTCCAGCTTTCTGGCAGCCTCTGATGGCCACATCTGCCCTAGGGTCAGAGTTTAATGCCCTTTGGAACATAATTGCTGGCCTTTGGGTCTAAAGAGCAGCCAGACCACATCTCACTCTGGATAATGTGGAACTGAAGCACTAAGAAGCCCAGACTTGCCCCTTATGAGATGAAGGGATTTCTGGCCTCAGCAAGGTTTGTGTCTGCAGAATTGGGGAGTTGAGTCCAGCCTTCCCTGTGGGCTGGAACAGGTTGAGCTCAGAGGAACCAAAATACAGATGTAATGGCTAGGTATGAGCAAGAGAAGTAGAGGGAAAGGCACAGCTGGAAGACCAGTAGTAGACCAACTCTCTTTATATTTGGGATGCAAATAGAAAGCTGCACAGGGTGTTTCTGTTGAGCTGGACTCTGGGCACACCAGGGGTACAGACAAGGGTTGCTGGGGAGAGGAGGTTTGAGCATCACCTCAGGGTCTGTGGCTGCTCTTGAGTGCTGGCCTAGCTTCGTTAGTCAGTTTATTCTCAATACTGCTGATTAAATCTCTTCTTTATTTTTCTTTTTTTAAATAAAAGAATGTGTTTTAAACAAAACATGTGCCAGAGGCCTTGGCTTCCCCTCAATCTTCTTGAAGGCTCGAGCCTGTTAAAGCATCATGTGTATGTGCTGAAGATGCACTAAGACTTATGTTGCAGAGTTGCTCAGATTGCTGAGCAGATGGGCTCCAACATGTCTGATTTTTGCCAGCCCTGGCCGTGTTTTGACAACAGTGCCGTATTTTTGTGTTGTGGGATTTTTAGTGGCATAAACACTCCTGTTTTTGCTACCAGTGCCTTAAAAAGGAAGGTGCTTTTCAAGCACTCTCCTGAAATGCAGTTCAAAGAAAATGCAACGCTGTGGTGCGAGGAGCGGAGCCTTTGGGGAGAGCACAAGGTATTTAACCAGGCTGCCTGGTGCAAGTCTGCCAGTGACTTATTTATTCCAGATGTTGAAGCCAGGAGATACCTGTGACAGACACTAACTTTTATGGTTCTCTCAGATGCGGTTCCTTTGAGTCTGTAGCTACAATCCTTGTTCCTTAATCCGCTAAGGCTTGCTTTCCCTCGTTCAGGAGTACGTTCCCAGTCAATCATGCCCCGTCTTTTTCAGGGCGAAGGTGTTGTGAAAGAAATCAACATCACGCATCATGTGAAGGAAGGCTCCGAGAAAGCTGATCCTTCACAGTTTGAGCTCCTCAAGGTGCTGGGGCAAGGTTCTTTTGGCAAGGTGAGTTCACTTCTTCCTATGTCTCACACCAGGTAAATTGTTTTTATGACCAAAAGGCCTGTCCCCAGCAAAACCACTTTCCTGATTCCCACCAGTTCATGACAATCTGACTGATGAGCCCCTTAGCGAGTGGTTGCTTCTAACCTGAAAGGCAGCTGTCGTGATGCTTTTGTATAAGGGCCGGTCTGTATGGCCAAAACTCCCCTGCAGTTCTTCTTTTCAGATGAGCAGGAGGAGAGTAGTAGTATCCTACTTGTGAACGTAGGTGTCACGCAGGGCAGAAGGACCTCCTGCAGCTCTCTAGCTGGCTGCCAAGCTTTCAGGTGAATTGAGGATTTGGAGGATTCGGGCACGTTCCTCTCTTCTCAGAAACGATGCTGTGTACCAGGGACTGGTTTTGGCCCCTGTTTATGGTCCAGCTTCCCTTCTGTGAAGAGGGAAGGAAGTAGGCTGTAACTCTTAGCTATTTCAATGTGTAAATAATCCAGGTCTCTTACAGACCATCTGCTCACACATTAAATCAACTTCATGTCAATCAGTTACCAGCACTAAGGGTGAGGGTTTGTACAGGACCGTGTGCTGTTGCTTGGGTCAACGCAGCAGTGGCTTGATGTAAAGAAAGGTGGTGTCTTTTTGAAGCTGCCTAAAACCAGGTAGAGTGGGACATCAGGGGAGGAGGTAAAGATCTAAAGAGGGTGCAGGACCTTAATAATGAGTTGATCTGGCTATCAAACCAACAAGTCACCACGAGGCTTTGTGGTACATTGAAGCATCAGTGCTTCGAGTCACAGCTCCCGGGCATCAGCCACAGCCCCGCAGGAACTGCAGGAGTGAGCAAGAGGAGTGGAAAATTGGAGAGAAGGAAAGTGCAGTGTAAAAGCAGAAGTGCTCTAATGGCTGGAGGTAGGAGGAGAGAGGAGTCTATACCCAGCACTTCGCTAAAAGCCTCATGGGATTTCACATGGAGAGCCTGAGGTACGTTTTAGCAGTCCTGTGGCCAGCTGCTTCTTGGGGTCACTGTGAGTTTTGCCACTTCGGAAGGTATCAAACTCCTACTGCTAATGTGTAGTGCTTGGCAAATGTGGTGTTCTTCCGCTTCAGGTTTTCTTGGTGAGAAAAATAACACCGCCGGACAGCAACCACCTCTATGCCATGAAAGTGCTCAAGAAGGCAACGCTGAAAGGTAGAAGCCTCTTACTGTGATGTTCTTATCCTCTGCGTCTGAAAGTGCAATGTGGAAATGTGACAGCAGTCGCTGCTGGCCCCAGAGTGACCTGGGTGAAAGCGCAGTATCTTTATCTCAGCCAGACAGGCTCCTTTTCTCTCCATCTATAAAAAACCCTCGTTGCAGTGATGGAAGTGGGAGAAGATCTGGCTCAAGCTGCCTGGTGCGAAAGGGCTTAAGGCTGGGGACAAGGCTGGCACCGGGGTGCTCTGTGCCTTTTTCTGTGTCTGAGCTGTTCCTCTCTCTTCCCACAGTGCGTGATCGAGTAAGGACAAAGATAGAAAGAGACATCCTGGCTGATGTAAACCATCCCTTTGTGGTGAAACTGCACTATGGTGAGTGTGGAGCTAGCACCGCTAATGCTCTGACTCTGGGGAAGGCGACGACAGCTCCTTTGTAGAGTGACCAGTGCCTCTCTCAGAACAGCCCTTTCAGCAGGGCATCACTGGCTGAAAGGGAACCAACCCACCATAAAATGAGGATGTTCTGCAGTGCCAGAGTGCTGCTGCTGAGCTCCCATTTCAACAGTCATGGACGGGCTCTCATTTAACCCAAATAATTAGCCCTACCTGTGTTTAACTGAGTAACCACATAGGGTATCTGCACAACTGGAGCCACTGGGGTTTAAGTGATTAATGTAACATCATGGAGCCTTCCCTCAGCGGAGGGGTCTGATTCCTGCTCCGTCTTGTGTTGCAGCATTCCAGACGGAGGGGAAGCTGTATCTCATCTTGGATTTCCTCAGAGGAGGTGACCTTTTCACTCGGCTTTCCAAAGAGGTGGGTCTGCTCTGGCATCTTGGTGACTTGCTGAAGCTCCCTGTTGGTCTGTGCTTAACTGCCTGGAGAAGCGATTGACCCTTGCCAAGTCTTTGAGAGAGGTGGAAACAACCTCCAGCCTGCTCCTGGCCCAGAGCTGGCAACAGGAGAGGATGTCTTGAGAACCCTGCCTTCTGGTAGAAAAGCAGCAGGAGGCAGGTCTGACCTCTGCTGAGCATCGTGTTAGGAATGAAAACGGGCAAAGAAATGTGCTCTGCTGCAGCGTTGGCTGATCGCGTCGCCTCACTGGGACGGGGTGAGGGCAGGGAATGGGAGGGGTGACAAGAACCTGCTTAAGATAAATTAGGAGTTTTATAAAAAGCTGTCTGTTGCTTTGAAACTTGGTTTCGGGGTTTTTTTGATGTTTCTGCTTAACTGATACTTTAGGATGGCGGGCAAAGCCTGGGAAACTTGGGCATGAAAGGGCAGGAGGCAGCAATGTGGATGTGTAGGGTCTTGCAGAGGTGGTCCCGCTGCCGGGGTTGTAACCCTACCATCTGTCTGCTTCCTCTCCCTTCCCGCAGGTCATGTTCACCGAGGAGGACGTGAAGTTCTACCTAGCAGAGCTGGCTCTGGGGCTTGACCATTTGCACAGCCTGGGAATCATATACAGGGATCTCAAACCAGAGAAGTACGTGTGGGACAGCTCAGGCAGGAAACTTCAGTCCCGAGCCCGTGGTGGACAAACAAGGCAGCTGTCTTCCAGGAAGCCTGAGCTGGACGATGCCCTGAGGGCAGCCACATGGAAAGCGACAAGGCTTCTGCTCCTTAGATCAGCAGTTAGGGCCAGGAGTGCTGTGGAGGCAGCGTGTGTGCACCATGTGCCTGAGCAGTGATCCTGGGCAGGCTCCGGGCTCCAGCTTTAAGCAATTGAGAGCCCTCGGAGGGAAAAGGCACCAGGCTGGGCCCCTGCAGAGACACCTGCCAGCTGTAATGACTGGGCTGTTCTTACCTAGGGTATGTGGGGGATCAAAGGTGGTGTAACCTGTATGGGTCATTCGTTAAATGTGAAGGTGAGGACATGGAGAGAAGAGCTGCTCTTGGTCCCACTCGTGTCTTGGTGATGGAGCTTAAAGCACTGGGGGAAGGACAGATCACTTTCTGCTGTCTGTGCTTGTTCTCAACTGCCCTTACTGCAGACAGTAATAACTTGGTTTTCTCTTTCATCCTCTAGCATCCTCTTGGATGAAGAAGGGCACATCAAACTCACAGGTAAGGCACTCCACAAAGGCCTTGTGCTCCAGCAAGGCTGGTTCTTGAAATATGGAGCTTTCTGCTCTGTGTGATTGCTCAGAGCACAAGGTGGGTGCACGCTGATGGTTTTTCTCTTTTGTAGATTTTGGCTTGAGTAAGGAGGCTATAGACCACGAGAAGAAAGCCTATTCCTTCTGTGGGACGGTGGAATATATGGCACCAGAAGTTGTGAATCGCCAGGGACACTCCCACAGTGCTGACTGGTGGTCTTACGGCGTCTTAATGGTACGTGCCCGGCTGGTGTGTGCGGGAACTTGGCTCAGCACCTGCTCTAGTGGCAGCTCAGAGCACCCGGTTGTGATCCTGCGTGTCTGGCAGATGGGTGCCCACCTGGGGGTGTTCTCCAAGCTCCCCGAAGGGACTTGGTGACAGGCTGTCCAGGCACCCAGCCAGGAACGCGTTTCTCAGGGGAGGCTCCTGGGGCTGTTGTCCGGGGGTGTGTGAGTGTGTCCGCGTCTGCCCCAGCGCTGGGATGTCTGTGTCTGTGCAGATCTGGCGCCACCATCTGGTGGTTGCTAAACCCAAGGGCTCCCACATGAGCAGCAGGCACTGCCTCCACCAAGCTCCAGCTGCAAACCTTGTGAACCAAGCTCTCTCTGAGAAAATACAATGTCTACGATCTTTTTGAGAGCTCGGCTTTTGATCACTGGCAAGCTCCTTGCTCGCTTTGTCGAGCTTCCAGATGCCGGGGCGGTGGGATCCGTGCAACTCTCAGACTTGCTCAGACGTGACCTCTCCTTCTCTTTC